TGAAAAAGTGTTTTTGCAGGAAAAATACATTTTTGAAATATAATTTTGATTAATAGTTGATGTTTTATTGCAGGTAGAAAAGGTTTTGAAAGTCCCTGTGGTTATTACCCCCAACCCTGAACCAACGTTCAAAATCTGCAGAAAAACTAAGGTGAGTAAAATAACAAAATACTGTATTAAAATAAAAAATACAAAAAAAGAAAATTAATACTATTGCTACTACTAATGATTAAAACTAATGTAAAACACTAAATACATAACAAATAATTAAAAGGCCATTTATAACAAGGTGGGGTGGTGACAGGTACCATCTTTGTATTAACGCCCTAAGAAAAGTTAGTGATGATCATTGTTTTGATTATTATGGCTATTACCCTCTTACCCCAACCCAAACCCAAACCTAACCTAGCCTAACTATAGAGTAACTTAATAATCATAAGTTATTTAGTAAATGTTTCTTACGCACGCCAAAACAATCAGGTGTCTTCAGCTAACTTTATTTCGCCCTCACTGTGGAGAGGATGCCCCCACAAGCAAACAATGTCACATGGTTCACCTTACAGTCAAGATGATTGGACAAATGTACAGACATTGTTTCAGTTTTGGGAAGATTATTTGAAAATGCTTCATTTTTTTATCTGAGGTTCATTAAAAATCAAAGGTAACGCAGCTCAACACTAGGCTGGACAGACCAACGTGACCTGGTGGTAGAAATGGGAATTACTGTCTTAGAACTTTGTGACCATGTATAATCACCTTTGAACACGTCCGTCTGACGTCACGTTGTTTAGCAACAGTGTGAGAATTCTTTGACGCTTTGTCGTAGCTCAGTGGGGTCTTACCGTTTATAGCTGTTGCTATCTTTACATATTTATTTGAGCATGTTTTAAAAAAATACCAGTGGCGCTACAGACACAGTGGGTTGTGTATATAAATACCATTGACTTGAATGGGAAGCCTGTGGCAGCAGAAACTGCCCACAGGAAGACAGCGGTTTACCCAGCTGCCCCGGCCTGTGCCTCACAGCAGCTCGTCCAGTGTTTCTGTCTGATTCTGACAGTGGGTCCACAGGTGAGTCGTCTGTACTGAAGACAGGAGCTGAGGGCGAGGAAATGTGGGGAGGACAACAGGGAAGACAGACAAGAGTGGAGGTGAGAAGGGGAAACGATGTGAGACGTTGAGGGAGAGAGAGAAAGAGAGAGAGAGAGAGAGAGAGACACCGGGAGATGCAGAGATGTTTGCTATGCTTGAAAGGAAAACAGTGCCATCTAGAGCCTTTTTGTGACGGACGAATGTTTTTGTATTCACTCAAGTCACAAAGTTCTAAGACAGAGAAAAAATCTGGTGTTGAGAACTAAAAACTTTTTTTACTTTTTGTGTTGATCTGTGTTTTTCAACCTGCAGAAATGAAGCATTTTTAAATTTGAATCATGTCACATAAATCGACAGTAAATTTAATTTAATTTGTGAGAAAATAGTGACCAAAATAAATAAATAAATATAGCAGAGACTGAAATACAGTTGTACACAGTGGGGCAACTTTTCATCCATTATTATGGAATTAAATTTTTAGACAAATATCAGAAAAAAATTAAACCCTGGGCTCATAGTTTTACTATATGTATAATTATATTTATATTTATATATTTGGGTGTGTGTATATATGTGTGTATATATATGTGTGTGTATATATATGTGTGTGTATATATATGTGTGTGTATATATATGTATACATACACATATACACATATATACACACACCCAAATATATAAATATAAATACATATGTGTGTATATATGTGTATATGTGTATGTATACATATATATACACACACATATATATACACACACATATATATACACACATATATACACACACCCAAATATATAAATATAAATACATATGTGTGTATATATATGTATACATACACATATACACATATATACACACACCCAAATATATAAATATAAATACATATGTGTGTATATATGTGTGTGTGTATGTATATATAATGAGTTTCTGTTTGGTTGTTTTATACGAGGCCACGTTTTTTAAACACAGTGTTAGGACAAACAGCACTTTATTTGACACAGTCTTTGTGTTCAAAACGATACAAAACAACAATGTAAACCAAATATATTAAATAATAATTTAAAAAAAAAAAAAGGAAATACCAGCGATACTGCTCCTGGTTCTAGACAAGGTTCCTGCTCCTGTGAACTGGAACTTTTCAGTTGGCGTGTTGAAAACATTTAGCAAAACTAAATGTTTTTCTCAGCGCGGCGGCAGAACTGGAAAACAAACACAAACCTCTGAGCTACAAACACGACAAAGTCTCCAATTTCATTTAAACAAAGACTGTAACCATGGTAACACAAACAACATCTGCCATAGATAAACAACCTGTTTTTTGTGCTGTGTGTCAGTTCAGGTGCAGCAGGAAGTTCTTGATCGGTTCTGGCAGAGGTAACGAGGGAACGTGGCCCAGACGACCTTTGCCCAGCGTTCTGCGGATCTTGATCCGACACAAGTGTGTGAGTCTACTGGGGCATCCTGACGAGAGAGAGAGAGAGAGAGGGAGGGGAGGAAGAAGAAGAAGAAGGGTGAGTCTGAGCAGATGACACACACAACAAACATTGAACAATATTTGACTGAATTAAGTTTCAGTTGTTTAAAAACTGATGACGTCACGTATGCGTCTTAAACACTGACGTTCTCTTCCTGATATTTGTTACTGATACAGATAGTTGGTTCAATAGTGTAGTGGTTAGCACGACTGCCTCGGAAAGCTGAGAGTCCTGGGTTCGATTCCCAGAGGAACCATATGCTTGGGCAACACAACAATTTCCCAAATATGGGATCAATATAGTACAAATTTATTTTATATTTAAATATAAGTAAAAAATTGAAATATAAAAAAAACATCGTAGTCACACACAGTCCAGTAGTCACCTGGACTGACCTCAGGTCAGTTGGAGACGTTTCTCCTCCTCCTCCTCCTCCTCATCCAAGAGGCTTCATCTTCAACTGACCTGAGGTCAGTCCAGTTGACCACCTGATGATGACCAGGATGAATGAGAATATTCACAAGTACCTGCTATCTGTATATTCTCAAACATCTTTTGCTGTGTACTGTTGTACTCTGTGTACTGTTGTACTCTGTGTTCTGCAGTACTCACTCCTGGCCTCCAGGAACACCCTGAGAGCCTCGGTGTCCACCCTCCTTCTGTTGTTGGCCTCCAGGCTCAACTCGTCCCAGGGCACCAGAGCAGGGTTGGCGCCGTGGTCCAGCAGCAGGTGGACGAACGCCACTTCACATCCGTGACGCAGCACGGCGTCCAGCAGGCAGGAGGCCAAGCCGCGGGTCAGGGCCTCGTGGCAGACCGGCCCGGTGTAGTTGAAGTCCGGCTGTGCCCCGGCCTGTAGGAGGAGCTGGAAACAGTGGAGGTGGTGGTAGGCAGCACTGATGTAGAGGGGGCACACCACCAGGGTGTTCAGGGTCCGAGCGCTTAAGAGGAGCCGGGGGCCGAGCTGGTGGTCCATGTCCACGTCAGCGTTAAACCTGGAGAAGAGAGAAGAGAAGTGGTGGAGACACGTCGACTATGACAAACCTCACGACAAAATACTACATGAGTACATAATAAAAACACAAGAAATACAAACATGAGCAGTCTGTCGTTCCTGGGTTAGAAATTTACTTTAAGTATTTTACGACTCTGTGAAAACAACTTATGTGGGTGAATACATGTGAATGTGTATGTGCACATATATAAGTATATATTTATATGGTATCTCCATTTTAGTGACTGGTACTGAGTGATACGTATGTATATGCATGTGTATATATATACACATATATGTGTATATATATATATATACACACACATATGCATATATATACACACACACGCATATATTTATACACATATATATGTGTATATATATGCATGTGTGTGTATATATATACACGCACGCATATATGTGTATAAATATATGCATGTGTGTATATATATATATATACACACACACACATATACATATACACACGTGTGTGTATATACACATATATACACATGCATATATATACATACATACATGTATCACTCAGTACCAGTCACTACAGTGGAGATGATATACATATATACGTACATATATATACATATATATGTACATATATATATACATATATACGTACATATATATACATATATATGTACATATATATACATACACATACATATATATGTACATATATACATACATATATGTGTATATATATATATACATACATATATACACACACATATACACATATGTATATATACACATGTATATATGTGTATATACACATATATGTATATATATACATACACACACATATATATGTGTATATATATATATATATATATACACACATATATATATATATAAATATATATATAGATATATATATATATTGTATATACAGTGTATATATGTTATAATGTAACATAACAAAAAATGTGTAAGAATACATACAGGGTAATTATCTGTGTGTCATACAAAAAAGCTGTTTGTGTACACTGGTATCCAAATGTTGGGTGTGCAGGTTCGTGCGCTTACTTGTAGTTGCTGCAAAGTTTTGAGCAATTCTGGCATCCATTCTGATTGCATGTATCTTTGGGATAAAGTTGTCCATTTTATTTTAAATGATAGGAGTTGCGTGTTTACGGTTAGACACATACGCAAGTTTTTAATAGTAGTCGCCATCTCTACAACAAGTGTGTATAACAACGAAGGTGTGTGTGTGTATGTGTGCGTGTCTATTGGGTCTTCACTCACCTGTGCAGCAGCTGTAGCATTAACAGCAGCTGATTTTAGTAAAAAGCTTCTGATTCTATTCATCTTAAATCTGAACCGAACTGTTAGAAGAAAAAAGATCCCCTGAAGCTGCTAGAGTGCCTTCTAGCGGCTGTCAGTGTGAAAATAATGAACATGTACATTTTCAATGGTAAAGTAGTAGCAGATACTGGTACACAAGCCTAGAGTGCCCTCTAGTGGCCGTCAGTGTGAAAAAAACAAATGTGAAATTATATATTTTAATATATAAGTCGCACCTGAGAATAAGTCTCAGACACAGCCAAAGGATGAAAAAGGTGCGATTTATAGTCCAGAAAATAAATTAAACAGGTAATAATTTTATAATTAGACAACAATATTTCCTACTGTTGTTCTGTAACATGTTCTAATGAAGGAGAATAACACAGTCTTTGCCTTACTGTCTGAAGCTGTCCTCCTGCAGTAGGTTCTTCAGAGTGTCCAGGTCTCCGACGTAGGCAGCGTTGTGAAGCCTCATGTCGTCCTGGTCCAGAGGTTTGTCACAGAACTGCTCCTGGAGCCACTCCTTCAGGTTACGACCTGGTGGAACACAGAGACTTCTTCAACTTTCACTTCACTCCGATATCCAATCAAATACTTTTAACGTTTCCTTTACACAGTTACTGTTGGAAAATAAAATTGTACTGAGGCTGCATCAGCAGAATCTTTCTGAAAAGTATAATATATCATTTTTCAAAATATACCAAATATCACAGAATAAAATCTAATCACAAGTAAAGACAGCATCACGTCTAACAGTGAAGTTAAATGTGCTTTACAGAATATTGTGTGATTAAATTTGAATATTAAACATTAACCAAAATATTACCAGCTAATCCAGAATATCTCCATCCCTTTACCTTGGCCATATACAAAAATGAGCTAAGCTAATGGTAGCATCGCTAAATTAACATTTATATATTACCTCACCCTGGTGTTCTTTGTCACCCAATTTATTATTTTCAATTTTTAAGGTTAAACCAATTGTACACATCACACTGTATGTTTAGCTTGCCTGCTAACAGCAAACAACAGAGTTGAACTTTCCTCTAAACTCAAAATGAGTTGTTAAATTTTTAGCTAAAGGCACGACGTTTGTGGTACGACAGATTAAATCATTATAAAAATTTACTTGTTTATAAAGTTATACATTACAGTTCTTAAAACTTAAAGGTTCTTGAATTTAATTTACTGGTAAAATGTTAAAAAATGACTCTTTCGGTGTTGACGATTACAGACCCCCTGCCCTCACCTTAAGGACCCCACACCTATTACAAATAAATGACCAATCCTAATCCTGATTCTTATTCTATTCCCGCCTCCCCTCCCCAGACCCCCTCACTTTATGGGGATTCTGTAATATGTTCCTAAAAGAATTAAATGTCTCCCCAAAATTACTATTTTCCTCCCCTTTGTCCCCACAAGTATAGCTATACATGGTGCGCGCGCACAAACACGCGCACAAACACACACACACACACCAATGACTCAGCCCACTGTACCTTCAGCAGTGGCGCTCGGCAGGTCGGAGACGGTGATGAGCGGAGGGAAGCTGACGGGCCGTGGGTCGTCAGCGTCGGCCTGAGCCTCCGGAGCCTCCGGTCCACCGTCTGCCATAGTCCTGCACGAAAACAGCTAAAACAACAGCGGGAGTGCCCATCCTGCACGAAAACAGCTAAAACAACAGAGTGCCCTGCGGGAAGTCCGTCTGTGGAGGAGTGAGAACCTCGGCCTCAGTCGAACAGGAGCAGAAAAAGAATCCGTCAAAACAGATAAATACAAACAAACACAAACAAATGTGACAGCGTTGTCGATGACGACGGAATCCGCTGTGCACGCAGTGCTACTCACTTCCGGTTTTCCGTCAGCTGGACGACTTAAAGAGACAGGCACCGTTTACATCGGCAGGTAAAATAAAGAGGAAATACAATTCTGTTCTGGAAATTATGAACATGGAAAAATGTCAAAAACATTTTTACAGATTTATAACAAAATAAAATATTTAGATCAAACTGACGGTTAGAGATTCCACGTTTTAATTTTAAACATTCATTAATTTACTTTACTTTAAATCTATGTCTGTGGAACTTGTAAAAATAAACAATGTTTTTTCTTATTTATTTTTCTACTACCTACACATTACTACATACTTGCAGGACTGAGTACAATTACAAATAGTTGTAATCAGCTACTGCTGTAGCTAATGTTAGCTCAGAACTTGGTATACTGTAAGTATAAGTATTAGTGAATGTGTACACCTGCTGCACAGTACTGCATGTTAGCAGTATGTTCTCAGCTGGTGGTTCCAGAGAGTTATTTCTGTGTGGGTACGACACCTCAGAGCTCCACAGCTGGGTCTGGGAGCTGTGAACCACAGACAGTGAGGCCGGGCTGGTGGTGTAAAAATAAATGGACGGGTCAGCAGTTCCATGTGTTCCCAGGAGGGGACAGGTTCTGAGGGGAGGTAAGCAGGTTAACAGGTTAGCAGGGGTCACAGATTTTAACACTAAAGTGTAAGAAACATAAATGATGAAAACATTAGGAAATGTCTGGATCAACGTCCTGAAGATGTGGAGTACGGACGCAGACAGCAGAGAGTGCTGGGTTCGATTCCCAGACCAACCACATGCTTGATAATGTTAATCCTCCTCTGTCACAGTCACAGCATCTGCTAAATGCATAAATGTAAATGTAGTGCCGTAAAGCAGCAGCAGCAGAAAAAGAAACCCCCGCTCCCCATTTTTTTTCAAGGATGTCATGGATTCAAGGAGTAATTTCCTTTGAAGGATTAATAGAGTACTAGAAACTGAATACTAAATAAAGTATAATATGATTCTTATCCTCCAAACCTAAGTATTAATTAACACAGATTGGCCCAAAGTCAGGTGAAGAGGTCATTGGACTTCTTCAAGGTTTAGTCCAAGCCCTCTCCTTTAGTCCTGACACAGGGATTAGAGGCTAACTGCAGAGTAAAAGGTGAAGTCACTCATTAGCAGCAGGAACTTTTGTCATACTCAAACAGACCGGGCGTCACTCACAGTCAAGAGGGTCGTCTCAGAGGAGGCTGAACAATCAGAAGTTACTCACAGGTGAACAAAGAGGTCGCTCTGCTCCAGGACTGCTCTGAAGTCCATCTGCTGGAGGAGGGGGGTGGGGTGCAGGGGGGGTGCGTCTGTGCTGCAGGCAGGTGTGTCTGCTTCCTGTAAGAGGCTAAATCTCCGACTCGCGTCACAAACGTTCATCACAGATCTGGCTGAATAGCTGTTAGCTCCGCTCCGCTCGCATGTTTTGTGTGTCGCAGCTGTTCCATAGATTAACCTGCAGAATAAAGGCCTTAACAGAGAAGTCAAACGTTTACACATCTGCCACTGGACCAGGTTTTTGAACGCGTGTTGGAAGAGTGAGAGCAGCCAATCAGACCTCACGGAAAAAACAAAACAAAAATAGAAACAGACGTCATTTCACCGTTTATTGTACTCCACTACAAAATTATATATATATTTATATTTGTAATACAAACTCCACATATACAAATGTACAATTAGAGAAGAAAGTCAGGTTATGATACAAGCAGCGCAAAGTCGGATTTATATTTGTCAAATCAACAGAATACTGACTTGGAATGGAACTAAGTCAGACTACAACATTTTCAGTGAGTATTTTTGTTTTTTTTAATTAAGCTCTTAAATAAATAGCAGATTTTTTTATTTAAAGTATTTAAATTTAGACTGAATATTAATGTGGGTTAAGACTGAAATGATTAACGTTGTCATTTAGAAGTCAGTCAAAAAAAGGGAAGGTAGTTTATAAGACTCCTACTACTAGTCAAATATATATATTCATAGGTATGTATTTATATATATATATGTATATACACACATTCATATATGTAAATATATTCACATATATATTTATAAATATATATAATTATATATATATTTATAAATAAATATATTTCTATACATACATACATATATATATACATACATACATACATATATATACATACATATATATATATTCATAAATATATTCACATCTGCATACATACATAAACAGTCCAACCAGGTAATCGCAGCAAAGTTAGCAGCCTCTGTCCTCTGGGAGATGATTCTACTGGAGAACTAACAAACAGACGCACGTGGAAATATGAGCGCTAACGACGTCGTACAAAATGTAAACTGCACCGCCCTTCTGGGTGAGACCAGTAATGCACTTCATCCCCACGCCTGACCCAGGGACCTGGACCAGTGGTTCCTCCCGTTATCACTATTGCTTGTACAATTCCAACAAACTCGTGTGGATTCCTAAGAGCTAAAAAAAAGGAAGTAGCAAAAATATTTCACTTTTCAATCCGTTACAGTACGAACACTTGTCCTCAGTCCAAACGGCGTGTCCTCCCCAGAGGAGGACGGGTTTGGCAGACTCTACAGTACAACCTCTACACTGTCACTGTGAGAAAACTCAAGCCTTTTGCACTCTACGTGTAGATGCAAACTTTTTTTATTTTTAATTTTTTTTTTTATGAATTTTTGCAAAGAGAGCGAAGCGCAGTAGAAATGAGGTTTAACACTGTTTTGCTTCCAAATATTCAAAATGTTTTTTTTTTGTTTTTGTTTTACCACTACTCAAAAGTGACACAGTGCTTCAGAAATGGAAGCCTGAACTAGGAAAGACGTGAGTTTGGTTTTCAGTCAGATCATCCGGTGCATGGTTTAGGATAAGGAATAATGAGGAATTACTGGGAGAATAAGTTAAAGCATCAAAACAACATCGAAAGAAAACAAAAAACTGCGACTGTCTCATCAGTCGACCAATCACAACTCCGACAGCTGAACACGGCCCCAGAAACAGGAAGTGAGTCTTGAATATTCCACCAACACGACAACATTCTTGTGCTTTAGCCCAAAGGCACTACAGCAGCCGTAAACAAACACTACTGACAACAGTGACAAGAACACGAGCGAGCTGCTGCCAAGTCAGCCGATCCACATTCACTTCAAATTCTAACCAACTCTCTAGACTCAAGCGTTCCACAAAGGCACCGTGACAACAAGGTGAAAAAGTCAGAGGGGTGAGGAGGGGGGGTGTGGTGGGGGAGGAAGGAAGATCTGTTTTATTCATTCGTTTCATTCATTTCTCCGTTTTCTGGTCTGATGGCAACATGTCAAAGTGTTTGGCCTCGTCTCTCTCCTGGTCTGTGGGGACAGACTGTTCAGGAGTGCCTGAGGTTTCAGTGCAACTAGGATCATCTTTACCTCCGACCTCTCAGGTTTTAAAAGAGGAGTTAATTCCGGTCACCATCCTCTGGATCTTCTCCTCATTCTTCAGTATGTTGAATCTCACAGCACAGATTTTGTCCTGCTGATCCTTGATCTGCTGCTCCAGCTCGGTTAGTTCTGCCTTGAGAGGATCCAGGGTCACGTCTGTCGCTCTGAGGCACAGACAAAAAGACAAGACAGATAAAATGAATGAGCTGAAATAAACAGAGATAAAAAAAAAACAACCTAAAGAAAAAGAGCTTTTCTTTAGATTTTACATTATTGTAATAAAATCTGAAAGAAAGTAAAAGGTGGGAATTAGAGCAGCAGTGGAATTAATGGGGGTGAGAATGGGGGGGGTGGGCAGGTGACTTGGCTCTGGAAGGTTTCAGGTTCGAGTCCACTGAGGTTCTCTGAGCATAAAAGCAGAGGTCTCGTTTGGTTGTGTGCAGTGGTGTGTTGTTGTAATGACACTTTCATAAATATAAGCACTGGTGTGTTTACATTTGCGGGGGTGAGACGTCGGTCTATGAAAACCCTCTAATATAAACACAGGTGACGGAAAGTCTGAGCTCTTGTGACCATGAGTCTGAGGTTCTAGACATAAAGCTTCATTTTTTATTTTTTACAGAAATCCCCTATTGACCCCTGACCTCTGGGCTCACTCACCTCTGCTCCTCCTGCAGGGCCTGGGCCAGCTCCTTGTTCTCCTGCTGCCAGGTCTGCCACTCAGCCTGCATGGCGTCCCTGTCCTCCTGGAAGTAGTCGATGATCTTACCCAGAGGCAGGGAGTTACGACACACCGTCTGAATGGACGAACGCAGTCGCTCGATGTCCCGCGTCACGATGTCCCGCTCCTCCTTCCTGGCTGCTTCTGACATCCAGGTCTGCAACACAACCAGGGAACAGTTTGATGAGAACTTGTTAAAGTACTAGGGCTGTGTATCGGCAACAATCTGGAGATACGATACGTATCGTGGAAAGGATACAATATATTGCGATATATTGCGATACTATAGGCTTGACCATTGTTTCCCAAACTTTCTTTCTGGGGACACACATTTTAAAAGTCACAAACCTTCGCGACCCAAGTCAATAGACATTATTTGACTCCTGGAAAATATGATGTGAAATGACCCCAAAATAAAAACCCACCTGTTTCTTGCGACCCAGGCTTTGGGAAACAATGAGCTTGATGATATATTGAGTTATATATTGAGTGTGATCCTAGTCTGAGACTCTGTTCCATCTGAACATCAGTCACTAACACTGGAACAGAGGGATCTACATTTGGAATCACTAGAGAAGAAAGAAAAGAACAAGAACATGAACCAACACCAGGAATATTGGACTGAGAATTGGTGAGAAAAAAAATCAATAACTGATGGAGGAGGAGATTGATACGGGATGGAGAAATATCACGATTTTTCAGTGTAAAGTACTTCATAACGCTCTGACTGTTCAGCTGGTTTATCCTGGACTGACTGGTTCTCAGAGCTGCATCAAAGACACCAAACACTTGTGTGTCCATTGACCATAACATAAAAAGCCTCTTCAGGAATCCCACCTCTGCCGACCGCTGCAGCCTGCAGGCTGTGTTTAGTGGTTCAGGATTTGGAGGCTATAAATGTTGAGACCTGAATTCTCCGACCTGGCTGTGTTTATCCAGATCAAACGTGCGGTTGGACTGGGCCGCTCCAGGCCGGCTCACCGGCTGACTTTCCACTGTATGGTGAGAGATGGGGGGTGACTGGCGGGGAGGGTCTCTGCACTTTTGATGGTGCAGAGGAGGGGGGGGGTATGGGGGGGGCAGGGACCTCCCTTGGCAGTGAGCAAACTGAAGGATGTTTGCTCAGCTGGGCTTCACGAGGCCTCTGTGTGTGTATGTGTGTAAAAAGTGAAAGTACTCAGGACTGCAACCCCAAAGTCACACACACGCAAACACCGAGCTGAGGATCAGGTGAAGGCTGCAGTGGACACACACACACACACACACACCCTGTCGCTCTTTAACTCCTGTTTGTTTTAGTAACAGGCCGTGGCAGCGCCGTCGTTTTTACTGCAGTACCAAAGAAATACCATCACATCCACGGCGTCCACGCCTCGTGACCTCGTGTGAACTCACGGCAGCTTCCCCTTCAAAACACACAACCTGTCACACGGGCGGTTTGGACCTGACGTGGACTTCGGCATCGAACCACACGACCAAGAGATCGAGCTGCGCCGCGGCCCGAGAAAGAGCTCGTTTCTGTCAACTCCAGTCTCCGAGTGTGAGGGTTGAAAACGCCTCGGCCCAGAAGTCCCTGTGCGAGGTGGGTGGTTTTCCACTGGGGGCTGTGAACCCTGTAGCTAGACAAACACTCTACGGCTCATTCCGTCTGCCTGACTGTGCCGCTGCCCAGACAGGACCCCCGCCTCCCCCGCACATCCACCCTCTCTGTTGGAAAATAAAAAATAAAAAAGAATCCTGGCATGAAGTACAGAGATAAATCACACTTTTATGAAGGTCCCTGTCAGAACGGTCGGGACCTGGGCCGCACTCCTAGTTTTCCGTCTCTTCACCTAGATCACACAACACCGTTCAGATGTGGTGACTGCAGGGAAATACGGGGTGAGATGGGGGGGAGGGAGTGGAGTGGAGTGGAGGGTTTTCTCATTATCTCAGACATGATGAAAGCTGGAAGAAATGGAGAAGACAGAGCTCTGGGTGAGGCCAAGGAGGGCAGTTAGGCCAGACTGGGGTAATAAAGTCTGGTGTCTGAATTATCATTGTTATAAACTCACATACGGCTGTGCAAAAGTTTTAGGCAGGTGCACGCGGTCGCCGTGTCCCTGCTGGGGCGCAGGATGTTTAATGATGTTGAGAATGAGGATGGATTTGAAATACGTGAAATAGAAAAAAAAAAAAGGAAACGTCTCAGGTCAAATCATGTTAATTGGAAAACACGTGTAGAAATGTGTTTTTCTAGAGCGAAGAGAAAAGGTATCGTCTGACAAGAAAAACGACTCGTCAGAATCTGATCCACCAGAGACAGGACGACCTCCTGGGTGTCATTAACAAGGACAACAGAGGTCCACACATTACTGGGAGAAGAAGGAGGAGGAGGAGGAGGAGGGAGACAAGAAGATGAAGAACCAAGGTACCAGGGGTTTGGTACCAGTGGTCACTGAGACCACACCTGACCTCCACCTTCACCGTCCATCATTTCATCAGCTGACAAAACTACACTGGTTCTTATTGGATTCACATTCACTGTCAACCTGTGAGGTTCAACCTGAGGTCAATCATGCACGACGTTCACCAAAGTCAGTGACTGCGGACCATCGAGCTTCATGATCCTGAAGATCATGAAGTGAATTCCACTACAGTGTGGAAAGAAAAAAAAAGTATTTTTAAAGTTAGTTACAGATCATTGAAGAGCTGGGGAACAGTGTGACCAGATAAAAGTGTTTAAAGACTGACGTGATTTTAACATTGTGTTTGTTCAGATAATCTGAAATGCAAACCGTGGAGCACGGGACCAGAACTGAACGTTGTTTGTGAGGCTAGATCATAAAAATAACTTGGAGTCAGTGAGGTGAGGAGAGAGGCTGACGAGCAGTGAGGTTACAGGAAGTTGTTGTAAGGTCACTGTGGTCCCTGAGGGGGACAACTGAGACCTCTGCTGGGCAGGGGGGGGACACCTCCTCAGGGGCTAATAGCTTTGGTAACTGACAACGCAGTTAAAAAAAACAAAAAAAAACAAAAGTGTCATTCATGACATTCATTAAAAAAAAAGAATTGTTGAAAAAAACAAAAAAAAAAACACAGACTTCAAACAAAGACTTTCTAGATCATTGCTGGGTTCTTCTGGTAACCTTTGAAAAAAACAAACAAAAAAAACAACACAGACTTTAAACAAAGATTTTCTAGATCACTGCTGGGTTCTTCTGGTAACCCTAACCAAACTTCTACCAAGTCAAAGTGACCTCCACCTCCACAGTGATATGACTGATGGAATGCCACTGGGTCGTTTCCTTATGTTTCTACAAAAAAAAACCTCTGGATGTTTATAAAGACACAGAGCTGTGTTTGTTTTCCTGACAATCCTGCAGAGAGCGCTGCGGCCCCTCTCCTCCGTGCCTCTCACTCAGCAGCCGTCCATTTGTACGCCACAAGGTTTATTTATACATTACAA